CCATAAATGCACACCCTCCATAAATGCACGCTTTCCTCCATTCCCAAGGGCGTGCATTTATGGAGGGTTCACTGTAAATATTATATATGTATTATGTTTGATTTTTTTCAGGTCACATACGAGAAATTATTTGGTATATTAATATGGGTCCGTATCATTTCACCGCAAGCAAATACCAAAAAGGATAACTTTGAAATAAAATGTTTGGCAGTAAATAATTGCCTCCCGCTGTATATAACCAACAATAGATCAAATGCAATAATATATATGTCGTTATTATACTCATACAATCAATAAATATTTTTGCATCATATGTTATTTTATTTTAATGAATACTATTGATAATATCATAATACATGTGAATTGTCTATCCAAGGATTTGGAAAAAAAGTTGGTCACTATACACTACTGGTAACAAACATACAGATTCGTCAATGGCTGCTTTTATACAACTCAATCTTTTCCCTTATTTTTTTCTTTACTTCTAACCCATTTTCATAAAAAGTATACACTTTATTATGTGCTTTACTGTATCCCTGTTCAGCTGCTTTTTCATAGAATTCAAGTGCCTTTTGAATATCTGCTTCTACTCCAATTCCATTTTCATAATACAGACCAAGACTATATTGTGCATAAACATTTCATTCTTTAGTTCCTGCTTAACAGATGCTAGTTACAAAACTAATATCAAAGTTTGCTCCAGACATTTTGCTGTAATTCCTACTGTTTTCAACATGTATTGACATATGTGCTTGTTTTACTGCACTGTGATATAACTCAGCTGCTTTTTTATACCTGTCAGGATCAAGGCTTATACGACGTATTTCTCCGTGATTTCCGCTCCGTCCCACGAAAATCTCCGATTCCGCAGCACACGAAATCCAAGTAACACAGCCATTGATAATTGCGACATGGTACGGATACTCAGGATCTGGGAGTCGACTGTTTGGCTATCACGTGTATTAGAAGCGCTCTCAGATGACCATGTGTTTGTTATAGTCTAATGATTTCGTTATGTATTACTTATAATATCTTTTGTTCAATTAATTAATTAGGTATTATGTGTCCCAGCACTATCACAGGTTGCGCCTTAAAGCTTTTGCAAATGGAGGCAACGTAAGTCGCTTTGCCGCTTGCACGTAAGTGATGCGAGTGAAGCGACGATTTAGCATTTAAATCGGCGAAAATTTTTATTAGGCTTATGATTTTTTAAACAATTTATCACCTAATTCGATGAAATATTTTATTAGATTTATGATTTTTTTAACGATTTAGCATCTAAATGGCGAAATTTTTTATTAGACTTACGATGGCGAATTATCTGAAATAAAAATAAAAATTGATAAATATCAACGGAGTTGAGAGATAACCTGTAAAAAACTGTATTAAGATACCAAAATCGTTATCTAGCCGCTCCCCTTTTACCAACAAGTGATGTTTACATTGTTAAGTGTAAAAAACCGTGCTAGTAGCCCCTCCGCGGCCGTCTTTTTACCAAAAAAAAATATCACCAAAATTGTTACCTAACCGCTCTGCGACTGCTTTTCTACCAAAAATGACGACTACTGGGTTTAGTACGCGCTAGCTAATTCAGCGAAATTTTTTATTAACCTTATCTTGCTAGCTCGCGCGCTTATTGCTAGCTAACTCGGTAAAAATGCGTTCAAAAATCTGTCCTAGAATATACATAACATACTACTGCTTTTTTATACCATTCAGCTGTTTTTTGTTCACCTTTTTCTACTCCAGTTCCATTATAATCCCTGTTAGCAAGTTATATTGGGCATTGGCATCTCCTTGTTCAGCTGCTTTTTTATACCATTCAACTGCTTTTTGTTCATCCTTTTCTACTCCAGTTCCATTATTATAACATAAAGCAAGATTACATTGAGCACTAGCATATCCTTGTTTAGCTGCTTTTTTATACAGTTCAACTGCTTTTTGTTCATCCTTTTCTATTCCAGTTCCATTATCATAACATAGAGCAAAATTATATTGAGCACTGGCATCTTCTTGTTCAGCTGCTCTGTGATACAACTCACATTGATCCCCTTTTTTCATCCCAAGTGCATGATAACAAGTATTATTACTATTGGTTACATATTAATACAGTGAAAACAGTTTTTCAGGGTAGCAGTAGTGTTATTAAATTTCACCCAATATACGCGGTTGTATAGTAAGTGTTGAATACAGTAAAGTTTTTGGAATAATGTTAATATTATGGGGGTTAGATATCGGTAGTATCACAAACGGGAGGCATTTATTTCATCGACAATCATTTCACCGACAGTACACTTCACCGACAGTCATTTCACGTTTATCGCACTTATCATTTGTTTTCGATGAAATTTATGTCGGTGAAACGTACTGTGAACCGGACCCTCACAACATAGGGAAAGCCTCAATCATTTACCGATCATTTTCGATAGTAATAGAGGTTGTAATTGGTGAATTTTGTAGATCATCAAATTCGAATGATAATTGGCGCAAGTATTTTTTTGGTTTATAATAAAAAAAAATTGATGAAATGGATATTTAAGAGTAAGATCTTGCACCATTCAAATTTATTCTAGTATTTGAGGAAAAAACTAACTTTGTTAATACAATGTCAGATATTATTTCAGACGTTTGGGAAGTTCTTGTCCCACCCTCTAAGGTTGCTTATATTCGAGGATGCGGGGTTGTATTTGATATACAGTATATTCGAAATTATGGAGTTTCATAATAAGCTGCCCTCATGTAACATCTAATTCTCCTATAATGGAAACCTTGAAGCTTTTTTTGTCCGCATACATATAGACTTTTCTGTGGTGAACGATTATATCGAATTCAGCCAATTTGGCAGAGCCACTTCCCGCAAGTACTAAGTAGCTTTTACAGTAAAAATCGTCATGTTATAACATATTTGCACGGTTGATTTTATGTTTCCAATGGCCCATAGCCAAAGGCGGACGAGCACATGGCATTACTGTTGGAGATACGCATTTACCTATGATGGAATGTGTGATATACAAAGAATTTTGTTAAAATATACAGTCGATTTACTTATTATCCCGTCACTGAGATTAGTCACCCTACTAGTAATTCTAGAATGTCGTTTCAAGCCAATCAGAATTTTCTTTTGGAATCGACGTAGTTCTTTAGCAGGTTGAGAAATACACCATTCATTAGGTAGTTTTGTTTTTACTTTAACGTCAAATGTGTGAATCCATGTGTACAAGCATTGTTATTTTTTATGTCACGACTCAGAATTATTATACAAGGATGCCACTGTCCGTGATCTAAGTGTTACTGTTGGAACGAAGAAGACATAGTATTATTTGTAGCCATTCATATTGAAAACCGATAACATAAGACGTTTTAATCAACCTATTTTATCCGAGGAGGGGAAGATTATTTCATTTTAAATTTTTTATGCGTATTATACAATATATATTGATCGCTTATTTTGAAAAGGAAACTATGATGTAGCAGTTATTATCAACGTAATGGAAAAATGAAAATGAAAACAATAGGTTACAGTACAAAGCAAATCACCAAATTTAATAACTGTTTGAGGTTAGCTTAAAACTATTGCCATCCCTGGGATATTTTTTGGTGGGTGAAGGTACGTTGGTTATGCATAACAGTATATAAAAATGGTCACATAGAATTTCCAGAAAGCTTACAGAAAAGGAAATAGAAGGTTTAGTGCAAATATTGATTTGGGAAAAGATGCTCGTAAACGACGAATGAAAATATATCATTGACATATCAGGTTAAGGCCAAGCCGAAGATTTTTGACTAACCGATGATAATATTTTATCTCGATAATATATAATTGGTTCGTTCCTTTAGCCCGTGATCGAGTTCGTCCATTGCTAGATTATAGAAAACAAATACTTTCAGAAATCAGAATTTTGTTAATTGCGAAGATACGTCTCTGTACACGGCATGCCGACAGAATCTACAAACGGATCAGAGTCAGAAGTTTGTCAATAGTTTACTCACAAGTCAGGTATATTGTGTAAATTCACGTGACGTTACAAGTCGATTTCCCGCCATCCGTTGAGTATGTGTTTGCAACACATGACAATTTGACTTACCAGATATAGTCTCAGTCTATTTGTAGTGAATAATTTTCCAACGCGTTCTGAAATTGGCCTCAGTGAGAATTAAGATATCGATTTGCCAATGTGCCAATGATTCAGGCGTTTAAAACATGATTATCCGATTTAGACCCCTGAATTTCAACGTTCACCTTTGCATGCATATCATCTGGCCATAATAGTAAACAACCACCCGCGTAAACGTTGCATGAATGTTTGGGCTCAAAGGACGAGTTTTTATATAACACTTTTTTGTATATACAATGGCTTATTCTATCAAATCTGGCCAGAAACTGAATCATGACTTTGCCAGTGATACCTTCGACTTTTCAAGCCTTAGTTCAGTTATATCAGAACATGTGCCAGTGGAGGGTGAAAGCGACGACGAAGACTACAGACATCCAGTACCACCGTCAATCGATTTGGCTGAGCATACATCTTCATTTACCCTGGAGAGCAGTTCACCTCCGAACATGTTCCCACCGAAAGGAATCAGCGAAAAGGAATACCAAGACGTCGTTGGTGACGAGAGTGGGCTATACGACGATGACGCGGCTTCGCTTGATCTTTCTCATTTGTTAGGCGAAGCCCGTCGTCGAAAAGTTAGAGCTTCCTTTGAGCACAACAAAAATGCAAGAAATGCAGATAACTCTTCAGTGGATGAGAG